TTCTGGTCTTGTCCTTGCTCCTCAGTGTCTGCAGCAGGTTCAGGCCGTGTTGGGGTTTAGTCAGGTCGCAGGTCTAGGTGGCATACTTTGAGCCGTTCAGCTTCGACCTTACTGCACATGAAGATACGTGTTCAAAGTTGCTGGTGCATGGTCGCCCAAGACCTGGGCATCAGGTGGTCCTTCGCATACAGAAACCTCTCTTAGCATTCAGTGTGTAGTCCTCCGGGACGGTGGTGTATGCCTCGGTGCTGCACTCAGATCCTCCAAGTTCGGAGGCGCCAAATTCAGTGTCAGCGCTTAGATCAGTTCAATGAGGAGAGCAGTGAAGCCACACGGCCTAACCGCCTCTCATGGCACCCACAAATTCGGCTCCATGCCTACCAAAACGCGATTGCAGCCAAAGCAGCTTCAAGCACTCACACCCAAGGACTCAGGCAGGAAGAGTTTTGACCGTAACGTTCTAGTGTTTTTTCCCTGTAGTAGTTGTTGTTGTAGGCTGTGCATTGCTTGTCTGCATTCGCCATGCCTCCTCGTCCCCGTCCATCCTGTGCACCTGGACTCTGGACGACTGCACCCTCTCGATCACGATCTCGGCGACGCCCGAGGTCTGCGTCCTCATCGTCTTCCTCTTCCTCTTCGTCGTCAACGCCGGCGGCACCTACGACCCGGACTGCGGCACCTCAACGTTCTACTTTGACTGGCCGAATCGCTGCCCCTTTACAGCCTCCACGACCTATTGATATGGCAGCTCCAAGCACTCTTCCTGATCTTTCTCCTCTTCCTCCGAGCCCGTTTTGGCCTGGTCTACTTCCCACTGGCTCAACCCCGTCTTCCTCCAACAACGACCAGTCAGTGCCTGCTGATGCCTATGTCCCTACCTCACCGCCGGACCCGTCTACTACCCCTACGGCATCCTTGACGTCGCCACCTACAGCATCTTCGACCTCAGCAGCTCCCTTCAGCTCCGCTTGCACGTTGGCAACCTTACGCCAGTGTTTGGCCACGGCAGGCCAACTTGATACCTACCTGCAATCCGATTACTTCACACGGCTGGGCTCCCTCAAGGCGGTGCACTGGGATCGAGTGTATACTGCATTGCTGCAATACAGGTCCTACTTCAAAGCGCTCCCTCATCGTCGACAATGTCAACGGGAGTTACTCTTGGAGGGACGCCAAGTTGATGTGCCTTTCACTCTAGCCGATCCGATACTCACAGTGATGCATCTGTTGGTACATGCTGGATACCATCCTCACAGTGTTCAGTTCAAGTTTACACACGTCGAGGCTCCCCAACATCAACCAGACCAAGCCGGCAGACCGATGCTGATGGTTTCGCTTCCCTTCCCGGCAGCGGCACAGCGTGTTAGCGGGGCACCTGCCGTCGCGTATTTCGGTCACAACACGGACCTTCAGGCGGCTTTTGGCATCCTTAAAGAAGGCTGCATCCGCCCCAGCAATTTCGACCCCCTTGACGCTTCTTGGCTGCCGAGTCCTGCCTTTTACTCTCGCGCTTCTGTCCACAGTCTCAGCGGAGCCTTACGGGCTGCAGCCAAGTTCGGAGGATGGGGTTCTCCCCGTCCGATTTGTGTATATGGCCGAATCCCCATTTGCTATCTCGACATAGCCAATGCCGCGCCTACCGACACACCGTCTTCAGTGCTCCCCAACACTCCCGCGGCCTATCACCTGAAGAGCGACAGTGGGGGCACCGTCCCCGAAAACGCGGCGAACTACTTCGTCTCCATCCTACACGGCAACGACAACCGTTGGGGCGTGCGCTCCACGCTTGCACAACCAGAAGGCATTGCCGTGTTCATGTGAGAGGACCCACAAAATGTGTGCGTGACTTGCGGTGTGGCATTGCTGGTCTCTTTGCTGATACAGCCTTATTCCTCTTCATCCCGCAGCCGTTTTGCTGAAACCTTCCCAGCACATCATGGCCTCCTCCGCCTTCACTTCCGAATATTTGCAGTTGTTCTTGGTGTTTTTCGAGTCGTTGTCCGACCACCAACTGCTCCAAGTACGTGACGTATTGCTACGAGCCCATCAGAATCGACCGACTTTGACTCCTGTGACACCGGTGACTACGACATCTACTCCACCGCCTCCGGATGGTCCTCCACCTGCCACAGCGCCGCTCACCTCCAGTGACCCAGCCCCTTACTCTGGTCAAGCCGCCTACGACTCTCCTGGACCTCAAGTACTTCCAGACGGCAGTGTGGCCCCTCCGGCCCCCATGGGACCACCACCGATTCCTCCTCATGTGGATCCCTCCCAGCGCCAGACCCTACCACGACTTCGGAGACGAGATCGCGGCCGCCCTCGAGATGAAGAACGTTCTCGCGCTGAAGACCGCGATCGTGATCGTCATCGCCGTCGACGTCGTTCGGTATCCCCACTTCCTCCTGACCCGCTACCTGCTGGACCTTCTTCTCCTCCGATGCCATCAACCCCGGGACATTCTGATGCCATCCCGATCGGCCACACAGTTCCACCTCCGGCTGTCTCCAAGCACACTGGACGACCTCTTGCACCTAAGGTTGTGACGCGGCTCCAAGCTACTTCTATCTTTTCCGGAAATCATTTATTTTCCGACCAAAAACCGAATCACCCTATTTTGAGAAAGCAAATAAAAAGCAAAAGAAAAGCGTCCAAAAAGGAGACCAAAGTGTAACGGAGCTTCAAAAAGCGATCGGAAAGGACTTCCCAAAGCGACAAAAAAGGGTCAGAAAAGCAAGCACATCGAAAAAAAGGGATCCGAAAAGCGATAAAAAAGGGTAACAGACTCTTTAAAAAGCAAACCAAAAGCAACCAAAAAGCAAATAAAAAGCAAATAAAAAGCAACGAAAAAGGCAACCAAAAAGCAACCAAAAAGCAGCCAAAAAGCAACCAAAAAGCAACACAAACACATCAACATGTATCGCAGTAATAAAGTAAAAGCAATGGGGTCCGGGAAGACAAGCAAGATCACAAGCAAGGGTAATTAGGTCATAATCAAGCCATAATTAGGCAAGGACAGCAAGAAACGTTAAAATCGTTGAAAATTCGCTTGAACGAAGAGAAGGGTCAGGAGAAGCAAAAAGCAGTGGTTGGGAGAAAGCCAACGCCACAGATATGACAGATAGGACCATTTCCAAAATTGGACCGATATTGCCAAATCAGAATCAGACAGGAAAGCAGGTTCAGGGCCAGGTCGTTCGAGTGTTTTTGTTGGAGAGAGTGTGTGGACAATGACAATTTTGTATGGATGCCCGGATGCCACACCGCACCAAGTTGGATTCCTTTGGCCAAAGATTTGTGGAATACGTGTCGATGTTCGCCTTCTTGACCATGTCGCCCACTTCTTGAATGGTGTGAGGAGGTTTGATCTGAAATAATCGAAGCCGTGTTTGAAGCCTTTTTCTACTACTCACACAGTGTAGTGTAGTGTAGTCAGTGTGGTCCACAATTCTCATTCAGAAAGCCAATGTGATGACAGAGTATGAGAGTGTATTATGATGTGCAGATGTGAGTACGATTGCTAGAAGCGTGTACTTATACCGGGCAGCTTGGGAAGCTGCTTGATGTATGTCGGTAGTCCCAATTCGTTTTGTTTGTGGCCTGCTCCTCAATTCCATTCCAGTTTGCGTGGCGGAATTTAGTTTAACTGTTGCATTTTCTATATGCGGCTGCCGTCGTATGCTCCGAGACGAAAGCTTGCATCTAAGCCGTGCTGTAGACACACTATCGTACTTCTAGCAGATTCTAATAGATTCTAGCAGACACCACCCAAAGCATTTCGGAGACAGCATAAGCGTGGGCTTGGTGCAGCAACTTCTCACTTGTCTGTTTTTTCTTTCAGATTGCAAGGGCAAAGGCTGGGGCCAGGGTCCAGGGTAGAAGTTCTAGGGTTGTTGGGCTGTAGACTGTAGACTCTGTAGACCTTCCGGCGCTGTACACTGTACAACCTGCTATCTGTGCTATCTGCTTCTTCGTGTCAAGCATGCATTTGGCAGCTTGGATAGTTTTAGTCGTCGTGCTGTAGCAGGTCGTAGCACTCTGTAGCAGCCATGAAGGGATGGAAGGCCATCACGGCGGCGAGTCTCGAGGCATCGGATCGAGAGATGGAGGCAATCATGAATGAGGCAGACTTGTTGCGCGAAGCTTCAGACTCTGACAGCGAGCCCAGCCCGATCCCCTGCAGTTCTCAAACCTCCGACGAAGCTTGGTCGTGTGCTATCTGCTATCCTCCAGACAGGTCTGTAGAGTAGAGTATTGTAGAGTTAGAGTGTCGCAGCAGGTATTGTGTGCTGGGTCAGGGCGGCTTGCGGTGCACAGTGTTGGGCAGTGCATGTCCCTTTCAGTCCACTGAGCCAGCAGTATCCACCATAGTGTCATTTGACAATGCGCCCGAGTTGTGTGACAAGGAGTGGTTCGTGTTTGACATCAAGATGCACACTCGAGATGTGGTTCCACGTGGAATTTGTCGCAGCTCTCCGATAAGCTTGGTTTCTTGCTGCACGGGCGCTTTTTCGGAGGCAGTGTGCCTTGAGGCCCACACGTAACATGTCATCCGATTTCTTGCGAATTTGCTAAACTATTGCGGGCAGTTCAGCTGAGAGTCGCCAGTCTGCACAGCGAAGTTACACATTCACCAGTGGTTCATGAAGCTGCCATACACGTATCTTTCGACTGTTGTGCCGTGGATGTGTTGGGCTTGAAACATTTGGTCTTTGCGCCAGGTGCTGGGCATTCCGTTCACAGCGGTCGGAGCTTCAGAGATGAATGAGACGGCTCGCAGCATCATCATGGCCAATCACCCGCCGACTCACCTGCACGAAACACTTCGTGATCAAATAGAGCATGAAACATGTCGGCTTCATGGGCAGTGTCAGCAGAAGTGCGGCATGCGGGAGAGTGACTTGTGTGTCTGTGGATCTCCGTGTCCCCCGTTTTCTACTTTCCGCAGTAAGAGATTCCTGGAAGATTCAGTGCGGGACCATGTGCTGACAGATACGACAATGATAGATGCAAGGGACATGCTCCTGCACGGGCAGCACAAAGCCTTCATCCTTGAACAAGTCCCGGGCTTTGACAAACATGAGACAGCTTCGGATCCATCAAAGCCCACTCCGTTGCGCAGGCGGGCACACAACTGCTTGGTTCAGATGCTTAGTGGCTTACGGTAAAAGCCAGAAAGTTGGAATATGATTATCCTAACCCTTCGATGGTAAATTATAGGGTATCCTACCATGATACCATATTCCAACTTTCTGGAGTTCCCTGTAGTTGGCTGAGTCCGAACTTACTGCCTGTAGTATCTTTGCGAACCTCAATTCAGTAAGCTTTGCGGCATGAGTGCATTCAGCAGACACTAGAAGCTAGACTTGCAATGCACATTGCAGGCAGTGTAGTTAGCAGTTAGCATGTCCGGAGTCAGAGATTGCGGCCTCTCATAGTTGTTAGTTTGACAGAGTGCTCAGAGTGATGCGACATTTCCCCGTTCGACACGAACAGTTCACCTTCGCCCAGTTTTCTTGTTGCTGTGTTGCATTGTGGTTCGTTCATTGTTTTCTTCGTTGCAGGTCAAGGGCTTTCATGTGTTTCAAGCGGCTCTTGGGCTTTTCTTCGTTGCAGGGGTCAAGGGCTTTCATGTGTTTCAAGCGGCTCTTGGGCTGGTCGCCCGGGTGTGCGAGGTGTGCTCGCAGTTGTTACTCTTATTATTTATGCATTGCATGTATTAGAGCTTGAGCAATTGAAGTTCCACGAACACAGAAGTATCCAAGTGGAGTCAATGTCCGAGTTGAAGCAATAGGACCGCAAATTAACATGAAGCAGCACTCGCAAACCAATCCATAATCAACCTCGGCCAGGTTTCTGGATATGATCCACACCGAGCTGAAGGTGGCCAAGAAGCCAGGCTACCATGCCGTGGTCCTGAGGGCTTCCCATCAAGATTGGGTCCAGCTGATGCGTGACAGGACCGATTCAGCACACTGCAAGGGAAGAGAGAGCATCAGAGAGTGAGTGAGCGAGTGCACGTATGTGTGTGAGTCAGTGGTGGCAGTGGCAGCGTGGTTCGGACCTGTTGTTGCTCCAGGCTTTGTGAACAGCTTCGTAACAAGGTTTATCCCAGTCCAACGGCTCATGAAACTTGTTTCTTCTGCAACCTTGCAGCTTGTCGGTCACGTTGTGTTGCGGTTCAAAAGCTTGTGAGAGAACTGTGTGTGTTCTTGTGCGACAAGCAACTGAACAATGAAAGCATCCATGGATGTGTTATTGAGGTTGTGGCTTGGGCAGTCCGTCGGATCTTAATGTTGACCGTTATGATTGGTTGATTAACTCATTCGAACCCTCGCAATCATGAGAATCAGTACGACTACGACTACGATGGATTATGGCACTACGGCACCATGGTAAGGTCTTGTTATATTTGCTCAACTTCTGCGCAAGCTTCTGCGCAGCCATGTTTGTAACATGTTCTGCAGTGCCATATGCCTCCTTCGGGAGGGCAGCCACGTGTGGGGCGGCCACCTGGCCGTGCTGGGTTCAGGGAAGCTTTGAGAGGCTTGGAAGATGAGGTTGATGCTGAGCCGGCTCAGCCTTTGGACGATGACGAGCGACATCAAGCTGCGGTGGAGAGAGCAGCGCAGGCAAGGGCAGCCCGAGCTGGATACACAGAAGCAGCGCCTTGTCAGGATGAGTCTGACGGTTTCGCTTTGGCAAGTTTTGGATTGCTAAAGCTCGGAACAGACTTGCAGCAGCAACTCGCGCAAGCTGCGTGGAAGCTCAGAGGGGCCAAGACAGCCACCGTGGCAAGGTTCAAAAGGATGTTCAGTGAACTGCTGCTGCATTTTCGGCCTACGGGCAGCCTGACCTCACAGGCTGCAATGATGCAGCAGGACAGACAAGCACTGCACGTCGTGATGCAGCAGGCAGCATGTTATTTGGTAGTTTTCTCAGCTTTTTTGATTGGGGCCTTGCTGGCTACCCTGTCAAAGCTGTGTGCTGGTGTGAATCCCAAGACCCACAGGGTGGTGATGCTCCTTGTCCGAAGGGCTTATGATGAAACTCCTTCGGATATCAGCGTCGCTTGGATGACACATTCTGAATTGGGTGCATTTAACAAGAAGCGAAGCAAGCAGGAGGGGACTGCGAAAGTCCTCCAGACCCGATGCGATGTTTTGATTCTGATGAATCATGTCTCGAGCGCGACCTACTACAGCATGAGGATTCCCATGCCTTGCTGGCTCATGGCGCTGGAGAAAACAAATGCTCAGACGACTGCCAAGGCCCAGAGGTCAATTCTGGACATGATTCCTGGCCTCCAGTCCTTCGGCCAAAAGGCCAAATATAATCTGCAACTCGTGACAACCGATCGCTGTGCTTCCAACTTGAAAGCCGAGAGACTCCTCGACACTGGGGGAATCAACGGCTGCACAACACATCATTTTTGTGTTGTGCATATGACCCACACCTGTCAATCCAAGACCGTCCAGATGCTGGACGGTCAAGTCACCGGGATGGTTGCTACAGCTTTGACTTGTATGGACGCGGGAAGCATCCGATCGCTTCGATCATCGATGGAGAAGGTTCTGAAAGACAAGGTGCATTTGTGCTTCGGGTCTCGGCCGGAGGATCCGTTTGCAAACGAGTACAGATCTGCTGTCTTGGAAACCTTCCTACCCTTGCAGGACGATGATGGAGATGAGCATGTTCTTGGCAGGATGCAAGAGCATTACTTGCAAAGAAAGCGAAGTCGAGCCATCATCAACTTCTTCCTGCACGGGGACCTGCAAGACCAAGATGAGATATGGTTCTGGAGTGAAACATGGGGACTGGAGCAAGAGCATGTTGTGCAACTCATGGCAAAATGGCTCATCCCAGTTTTGCTTCCAAAGCGGCCTCCAATCTTTTCGCGCACCCGATGGGACGGGTTCCATGACTCTCTCCTGTGGTTCGGACTGGCACAGGCTTGCCATGGCTTGCTTCGCCCTACGCTGCAAGACTTTCTGAATGTCACTCCGACGGTGCTGCCGCGTGCGGCAGAGGATGACCGTCAGGAGGTCGATGCAGATGAGGCAGACATGGAGGCTGTCACCGGGAACATCGACTGGAAGGAGCTCAAGGTGAAGATGCGGCAGAAAGTGCAGGTGTGGCTTCAACAACCGTTGTTCCCACCTGTGCTTCTTATGCTTCAGGCCTTGCGGCCAATGTCTCGATTTTACCACCGCCTGATTTATTCGGGCGGTGCGGAATGGGAAGACATTGAGAGGACGAAAGAGTCCCAAGGCTGCCGTCGATCGTATGCGGTGCTTGAGGCGGCGCGGGAATCAGATCTCAATGCTTACCGGCGGAGTGTGAGTGACACCTTCCACGAGCAGATCGTGCTTCTCCCGCGATGGTGTCACTTCCGCCACTACCAGGTGCTTCTGTTTCGCATGCTCAGCCGCAATGTGTGCAGCACGGAGTTTCTGATCGGCACAACCTACAGGTCATACCCAATCAAGCTCTTCAAGAGTTTAGACAAGGTGCACGAGGCGACGGATCCGGAGTGCATGCACTGCCGTCTCACAAAGCTGATCCTCTCGGAGGGTTGTGACCTGGACAGTCCTGAGTCGCAAGCTGTTCTGACGGCCATCGCTTCAATGTTTCAGTTGCACATTGCTTCGATAGAAGCCCGCCATGCATCAACACGGAGAATCACAACCATCAAATCGGTGCAAACACACCGCCCGACACTGACGGCCGTGGGGGCCGATTGGGTGTGCCGACATTTGGAGGATATATGTTCAGTCTTGTTTGGTGAGATGTTTAAGTCCTCTGTGAAAGTTTTCAATCTTTTTGAGATGTTGAAGTCCTCTCTGAAAGTGCAAGTTTCAGCCAAGTCTTTGGGCTAGGCCTATGACATACGGTTGATGATATAAATCCTGCATGACCCGGAATAAGGAATATACCATAATTCCCATAGTTTAGGGTCTGTAAGGTAATGCAGGATTTATATCATCAACCGTAGGGCTATGCTATGATTTGATTTGACTGAGGATCGAACAGTGCTGACCGAGCCCAGTTCTGCCGTGACATGCCTGTGTCCGGAACAGCCCAAGCAGACACCGTGCCGCCCGAGCCGAAGCAGCCGGAGCGAAAGAATCCTTGGAATGCATTCCTCAGCGAGAAGTGCCGCCGCAGAATCTCTGACCTCGGCAGCACTTCGTACGCTGCTCTCGTTGAGGAGTACCGTAGCTTGACACCCGCAGAGCATCAGAGGTAGCAAGAGATGGCAGACGTGGCTTTCTGTGCGAGAGCCCGAGGTCTGCCGGGTTATGCTCATCATGGTGCTATTCCTGCAGCAGCGGCATCATCTTCTGGCTCTGGCAAGGAAGTGGCCGTGGAAGCTCTTGTGGCTGTGCCTGCCGCTGGCCACCAGGAGTTGGCAGTCCCTGACCAGGCTTACAAGTTGATGGCTGCAGACTTGTCAGACAAACTGCAGGTGGTTCAGCAGGAGTATCACAGGCGATCTGCGTCTGTGAAAGACTGGTGTGACATTTTTCGCGACAGCCGGGTTCAGCATCGGCAAGATCAAGAGCATCTTTTTCGAGAATGTGGTGTGGTGGAGCATGTGCCTGCGCTTAATGGCCTCGTGTCGGCGGAAATGCGCGTACCAGCGGACAAGATCGGCGAAGTGCCCGGGTTAGATGGTTCAATCATGAGGGACCTAGTCACTACTGGTTCAGAAGTTCTTCCGGTTTCTTGTTTAATCGACTAGGTAACTGTAACTAGGCCCCTAAGCCCTAAGCCTCAGCTTTGGAGCTTTGCAAGGAAGGAATAATGAACAGTAAATTGTACCTCTTAATGGCCCGTAGATAATCAAGGGTTTCAGCTTTAACCGGAAAACTTTGAAAACCAAAAAGAGTCAGCCCGCTACTGATGTAGGACCACAAACCTTGTCACCATGCCTTGTTTGAAGTGTTTCCTGCCGCATGTCTGGTGGCCCTGTGCAGGATCTGCTCTCAGTTGGTGAAAAGAGCACCTTGCGGGCCTCTCTTTTGGACAAGTGGCAGAGCATGTGTGACTTGATTTTGAACACAGATGAGACACCATTTCCAGATGCTTCAGATGCTCTTCCAACTCGTTGTGCACAGCTCGGCATGTGTGTCTGTGCTTCACGTGGCTTGCAAGCTTACCTCTTTCATTGCAGGCTGATTTTCTGTTTGAAGGCATTCTTCACACCCAAGAGATCCCGCAAGATTCGGGATGCTGCTGGCAACATGGTGATCAAGGAGCTGTCGCAAGCCGAGCAGCATCAGCAGACAAAACTGAAATCCAACCGAAAGCTTCTGGATGATGGTTTCGTTGTTGTTTGCTTGCGGCCATCCAGCCGAACTGCCGCAGCAGAAGAGGTTCTGCCTCACAAGTACATGCACTCCTCCTGGAAAGCTTTGGCCCTGACTGCAATGAATGTCAGTGCGGAGGGTGAAGCAGATTCTCCAACTTCCCTCTGGCTCCATCTCGGCCACATCAATTATACGACGTGGGCTCTCGGTGTGTTGCGTCTGGACGAAGCTGGTGCTGATGAGGCTCGGCCTGAGTACACGAAGCTTCAAGTGCCCACACCTCAAGAATGTTGCCATTCCGTCAGAATGTTTGAGCAAAGCGGCATCAATTTCAGTGGCCCGTGGCAGTTCACTGTCAGCATGATCTTGAGCAACAATGATGAGCTGGAAAGGGCCAGCATGCGACCCGACACAGTGCTTGTGAAACAGCATGCAGAAGTGCCCAACATGGAATTCTGGCAGGGCTGGCCGGCAGAACAGGCCCGCCATGAAAAGAACTCCAAAAGTCGACCTGTGCCTTCATCTGGCAAGCGGAAGAAGGAGACATCTTCAGCCACAGCTGGGTTCCGGAAAAGAACCAAGTCTGCGCCGGGCTCATCCACGGATGCCGTGGAGCCTCTGCCTGCACACGAACCGGAGGACGATGTGGCTGGAGATCCAGTGGAAGAAGATCTTCTGCATGATGAGGAAGTCCGCAGTGAGGCCTCCAGCACTCCATGGTCTGAGTATGTGGCCGATGCTTTGGAGAGGGAGGAGCCTGGGTATGATGGAAGCTTGAAAGCGGAAGGCTCCGCTGCAGCCGCTGCAGCAGCGCCAGACATTGCTGCAGGTTCTGTCGATGATGCTGATATGGGTCCTGCTCGTGCAGACACAGCCCACCCACGTGCCGAACCACGCCCGACAACTGTGGTGGGCTTCAAGAGTTTAGGAGACCTTCGCTTCAATGCCAAAGACTGTCACATCATGGCGGTCTGCCGTCATCCTGATCATATTGACTGCAGAATCACCCGCACCACCAACCCAGCTTCAGCTCCACGACAAATTGCGACGAACCCCTCGCAAGGGAGGCCCATCGGGTTTTTGTGTGCCTGGCTCAATGCCGCAGGACAGTGCAGCTCTTCACAAGAGCACAAGCAGATGGCAGTGCCTCGACATCTCAGTCTTCTGTCTAGGCAGGAAGCGAGAGCTGAGTTCATGCGAGAACCACATGCTGCGGATGTTGCGAGTCACGAACGCACACGGAATCACGATGAGCCTGACGAGCCTCCAGTGATTCGGTGAAAAATTGTGACATGCGCTTCTTGAAGCTTCGCTGTTCGTCAGTTCGTCTGCAGCGCAGATAAGTCGCACAGTCATGGATCCTAGGTTTGGACTTTGGATTTTGGTTTGTCTTCAGGGTCTTTGATTCCTTCCCGAACCCCCAGGTAAGTGTGCACGGTTCATTTCCCTGTGCTCTTGTGCAACAGTGAAGCTACTTCGACTGTACCTGAATTTACCTGAATGCAGGATTTTCGTCGTCTTCCTGCGCAAGGACGTGTATGGTGTCGCAGATGCTGGTTTCCTTGCCAAGACTTACAAGGCCAGTTCTGTTTTGCAGCATCGGAGTTCGTGCTGGTGTCAGGTCTCGAGCCTCATGTTGTAATATTGTGTGCACCTGCCACTGCTGCATCGGCTTGTGTTCTGCAGAACAGGTGTAGGACAGTCTAGGCCCAAGTCCAAGCCCAGCCTTCTTCGAGGTGATGAGGTCTGAATGCGAAATGAGCAGGGTGGGGTATAGGTACAATACAGCGGTTAGGTTATGTCCCCGGACAATTGCCTGCTTGGTTAGGCTTAGGCTTAGGCCTAGGCGCTAGGCTGATTTTGTTGGCTCGTTTTTGGATTGCTTTGCAGGACCTCATCACGAAGCAGCAGGAGGCGACCCCGAAGAAGCTCAGCGATCTTTTGCCAGAGAGGAGGCTGGAGGACGTGCCGCGAGGGGTGACCCCGATGGACTGCCAGGTTCTTCTGCTGCAATTCTGTCAGTCAGCAGTGTGGAGCTCCGAGTGGTTAGCAGTTCAGTGCATGGACACGACATTTGGGCAACAAGACCTGGTCACATTATTACACTTGTTGATTGATAGATTTCGGAGTTTGGAGTTTTACTCAGAATGGTTGTATGCTTCGTGATGTTCGATGCTGCAAAGGGCAGGGGTCAAGGGGCATGGAGGGGTGTGGGCGGTGTGGATGCTTTTTCAGGGCCGCAGTGGAAGGCTAGTCGGCTAGTTGCACGAGTTGTTTGATCCGGGAGAATGTTTATGCACGATGAGGGCTTCAGTGGGGTCCTGATGGGGGGAAGGCGGGGGCAGGGAGACAGAACCTGGCTTTCTGGTGTGGTCGCTTTTCTTTTGGATTGTTACTGGCCCTTGCTTTTCAGGGCTCATTTTTTGGAGTCGAGAAATCGCTTTTCGTTTGCTTTTTTGCCACATTGTTGCCGTCCCGTTTTCTCAATTTGGCTGGAAATCGTTCGCTTTTCCAGTGCATTTTATTCCCTTTTTCGGAGCCCTGGCTCCGGACCACCCTGGCAAGCAAAAATTGCATTTTCCCTAGCAAAAAGAGAAAAAAAAGGAACGAAAAAGGGACGAAAAAGGGAAAAAAAAGGGACCAAAAAGGGACCAAAAAGGGACCAAAAAGGAACCAAAAAGGACCAGAAAAGGACAGGGACAGGCACCAAAATGGAGCCAGAAGCCCAAAACAAAGCGATGAGAAAGCAACCCAAAAAACAGCGGAAAAACGACACCACGGGCCTCCAGCCAATCCGCACCCAGGGCAGGCCCTCCCAGACCAAGCCAGTTCACCAGCCCCATAGTCACGTTCCTTCCACCAGCCCCCCAAGTCCCAGGCTTCCGGGTCAATGTGTGCGCGAGTTTGGTGCTCATCTTTGCAAACCTGGCATGATGATGGTGGCATGGGGTTCGATGCTCACGAAACACAGAGTTTCAAAGCCTAGGTCCTAGGTTTGTGTTTCATCATGATTACAAACTTCAACCGGACTGCCAGCCTCACATACAACTGCAGGTCGAACTCCTCTAACAAGGATGAAACCTTTATTTCCAAAAGCAAATTTCGTTTGAAACGAAATTAGTAAAAACTCGCCCTTTTTAGGCTTGTTGTGGATTTATTTTGAAAAGTAGTCGGACACTCTTTTTGAGTATGTGGACTACTTTTCAATGACAGAAAGACATTTTCCTGCTAAAAGCTTATATTTTTCGATGCTCAGGACCCTACTTCGGCCTCGAAAAGGTGGAAGGCCGAATCGAAAGTGCTTCGCAAGACCCTCGGGGTTTCGGAGAACTATAAGCCATGGACTTCAAGGAGGTCGTTCCTTGGAGTTGGTTTACCAGCTTCGGAGAGGATGTTGGACGTACTGGATTGCTATGTGGCTTCAGAACTTAAAGAAAACTGTGGCCGGCCTGATGAATGTGCCAGGGTGGATATGCGTTCACTGATGGAGGGCAAATTCATCGATGTCAGCCAGGGGGTGAAGCGTGGTGCCCACAGCAACAAACCTGGGTTTGTTCGCACCTTCACAACAAGCACGGTTTTGTATGATTTCAGCCGTGATGTTGTCTTGAGTGGCTACGAGATGCTGCTACTTCATGGTTTCCCACGAGACTTTGTGATTCCGGCCGACATCCCAGAGCCGGAGGTGCGCAAGGTAGCTGGGGATGGTATGTCAATCCCTTCACTTGCTGCTGTCATTTGGTGCTTGTACTTGACACGGCAGTTCCCTGAGTGATGGTGTTCTTGAAAGCCGTAGTGCCCAGCACTGTTTCATATGATGATTTTTGTTCTGTGGGCCTTCTTTGGCCATTCGTAGAAATGCATGTGTCTCGGCAGGATGTGTGAGACAAAGTTTTTTGTGGGACTCATTGATTGTCGGAGTGGCGAGGGTTCTGTGCTGTACAGTATGGCATGGTATAGTTTGGTATAGTATAGTATGCAGCACGTGTAGTGGCAGTGCAGTGTAGTGACGTGTTAGCATGAAGTTTGAATGTGTAATCTTGTGCCAAAGCTAAGAGGATGTGTCCGAAGGAGCTTCAGAAATCTGTTCCGACTTTCTTCTCCCAGTCCTGGAATGGACATATGGAGATTTCTGCAGATGGGAGGCTTCGTTCTCCATCGAGTCACAGAAACAATGACTCAGCGTATGATTCGATGGTGTGCAGAGTTTCGCTGCTTCTGTTTCTGGTAACTACTCCTGGTGAGTTTCTCCGAAGTGCTGGGAAATGGCTAGTAGCTCGTAAAGGAATTATTCAATGCAATAAACTACATATATATATATATAAGACATAAAACATAGGGTAGATAGTATGATACTGTGCGTGTCTTGCGAGGCTCTGCAAGTTTCACATCAGGAAGAAGTTGTGGCCGGAAGCAGTCCTAGAGCTGTGTTCAGGGGAGATGTCATTGAGAAAATATCCTGCTCCTGGCAAAAATACGAGACCTACACCCAGACATGTGTACAGTCAGATAATGAGAAGTTTCTGAGCTTTTTAAAATTAGCACTCCACACACTCCTATCCTGTCCCAATCTCTTATTTGTAATGCCTCATGTACCCTGGAGGTTTGGTCCTCGGTTTCATCCTGTTGATTTACTAGAGACCAGGGCTGCAAGGGCTAGATTACGTGTGGAACCCAGCCGGATTGTCTGGTCACTCGAGTTGGAAGTCCAGCCACCAGACTCGCCGCGCCTTGCTTGGAGTCTGACCGTACAGTTACAGTATCCTAGGTCCCCGGGTCCCTGCTGCTTCTGTACAGCTAGGGCACAGCTAGCTAGTTGTCTTTGTGGCAGATGGATTCGATGGACACATCGAGAGGAGAAGCCGGTGCTGAAAGAGCATTGTGCTTGTGTGGCAGCTGATTCTTTTTTGATTCATGCAGCGTGGGCCATCCCTTTGCAGCCGCAGTTTCTCATGTCTTGTTCCATCCTTGTGATGCTGCAGGCTTTCAGCCGTGTGGGCAGTGAGTCCATAGCTAGTGCTAGTGATCCTTTGTCAAGCCCGGCAGAGTCCAGATCTTGACAATGCGGGCCAGCGGCAGCGGCACTGGTGCTTCCAGACGTGGGAAGGAGTGCTGCGGCTGTGTGTTCGCAGTGTCGCAGAAGTGTCAAGGTAGGTAGCTGGTAGCTGCAGACACGTCTCTCGTTGGGTTGCTGCATTCTGTATCCGCTTGGGAGCCGGTGACTTTTGTGCTTATGCTTGTAGAAACAACGACCTTTGCGTGTCGTCCACTTGGCAGCAGGACAAGACGCCGAAGCGAGGTCCCCCGGGTGATGATGATGCTGACGAGTTCGATCGCAACAGTGAGCGAGGAAGCCGAGCTTCCAAGAAGAGCAGGCAGAGTCAGCAAGTGCCCACTCGAGGCCGTACTTTTGTGAGGAGGTGCCACATGTGCGGCAAGTCCTCCGACGACACCCAACCGCTTCGGAAATGATTGTTGAGTTTTCTTTGAAGTTGCAGCGTGTCGAATCCTGGGTTGTACCACATGTTCATATGCAACGATGGCCAATGTAACCATGTAATTCTTCCATGCTAACGAGTCACGGGCTGCGAAAATGTTGTCTCATACTTCTTACTGTTATCATGCAACAAAGTCAGTGGTGCCACAGAGTGTTATGTCCAAGGAGACGACGTTCATGAGCCAAGATTCCACAGGAATGCCTGTGGATGATGGATGTTACAACTGTGGCGGCACGTGGAGCGACACTAACCCGGGGAAGCCGTGGTCTGCTGGGAAGGAGAAGTGGAGAGCTTAGCCAGTCATCCTTGTTTTCAGCCTATGTGTGTGTGTGTTCCGTAGTGCAATGTGGCGGTCATGTGGGGCCAATGCGGGGGAACAAAACAGTGAGGTTCGACAAGGAGCCGAAGTGGCGGCCCAAGTTCCTCAAGTCGGCGAGGATCCGGTCGGGGGAGATCGACCCACCTCAGTGGGACACCGCCAGCAATGTCGTAGACTGGGAAACCGTGGAGATGGAGATTCACCAGGAATTGGGCCTCCTGTCGGAGGCAGAGTTCGAGGCTCTGACAAAGTTCGCCGGATCAGCTGTGAAGGCTGAGTTGCAGGAGGTGCCGAGCCCGCTCGGCCACGACAAGAACTTTTTCATCATCACCTTAGATGGGCTTCCCTGCACCGTTACCAACGGAATGAGGAAGCTTTGTTGCAAGTACAGGTTCGGCCTGACAAGGGAGGACATGCTTTTGCAAGCAGCGAAACAGCTTGTAGAAGGGCAAGGGAAAGCGGTTTTCAGCTACCACAGCGAGGAGCAGCTGAAGCAGAGACCGAAGGGACTGCAGACCGAGCAGCAGTTCAAGGAGCTCAAGTCCTTGGAGGGGCTGAAAGAGAAAGCCCAAAAGGCTGTGGCCAAGAGCGGTGCGCAGCCAGTCAAGGCCACTGGTGATAGCAGTTCCGAGGCTGGTGACGACGAGGACGGTGACGGTCCCAAGGCAAAGAAGTTGAAAGTTCAGCAGTCGGGGCGACTGCAGAAGCTTGCCAAGCCCAAGAGGAAGGGGGGCAAGAAAGCACCCGCCGGCGCGGAGATTGCCGTGGTTGACAACCCAGAGGGGGTCCCCAAACCTTTGGAGTCTGTGGTTGCGGCCCGTGGCAACACGCCGAAATGCTTTACCAACTTGCACATTGATCGAATTCTCATGGGCGAGAAGTTGATGAGGAGTGTGGATGCAGTTGGGAACCGAGAAGTGCTGCAGCTGTGTAGTCAGAGTAGTCGGGGCTTGTGAAGGCTAGTGCTAGTGAAGTGATACAAAGGCCGTGGACCGTCTATTGTTGTGTGCAATCGAGTTTTTTCATTGGTCACGTGATTCAGTGTTGCCAGTTCAACCATGAAAGTCATCATTGTAAGTTGTGAGCAGGTTTGTTGCCATTTCAACAAACCGAGTTGTCTTTAGTATTCTAGCAGATTCTAGCAACAGTCATCTGTCTTCGAGGCTTTTCAAGACTCATACACAAAGTTTCAGAAGCTCCATTGCAAGGTTCCAGGACAATGCAGCTGCTTCATAATTCGGTGTCATTAACCGTGCAACAATATAATGAGAGACCACAGTCATTCTCTGCCTAGCAAGGCGAGAAAGATTATGGATGACATGAAGGCCCAGCGCCAGTTCCAATGGAAAACTTTGCACAAACACATCGAACTTTGCGAGATGGCAAACGGATTGGTTCACAACTCCAGCCAGATCACTGCTCGAGAGTGCCGCTTGACCATGGAAAAGTTGTTGTCGAATAACATCGAGCTGCCGTTCAACATCCGTGTCCTGGGAACAGAGAAAATCCTTGCGGGCACTTGGAGCGAGCTTTACCACAGCCCCCAGAGCACCTCTGCCCAGGACAGTGAACTCAATGGTATTCTGCTGGGCACAAAACATTACCGAGCCCTTTAATCCTGTAAGTTACCTATGCCTATGGTCCCAGATAGTCCAACAAAACACTGGAGCATTGTAGTTTTTCCAGGTTTTCGAAGATGTTTGCCCAGTCTGGTCTCAGTGTCTAACATGTCATTGAAGCTCGCAACAGGACATCACTCAGATCGTGGACCAGATGATGAGTGTTCTGATCAGCTGGCGACATTGCATGCCTGAGGACGCAGCTGATGAGGCAGAGAAGAAGGGGAAAGAGGTGGACATCTTCAGCTTCGACGACTTGGCGGCAGAGGTGATGGCGGACAAGGAGGACACGAAGGACGATGAGGAGGAAACCAAGACGCTGCAGGTCTTGGAAGAGGCTGGGATGCTTTTGAGCTTTAAAGTCTTGGTGTCTTGATGCCGAAAAGTTTGGCGCAGAAACTTGAACTGAAATAAACCCGTAGCCGTAACCCTAACTCCAAATATAAAAGCCCGTAATCTTGTACCCGAAGGCCATTGACCGTGATGCTTGTAACGGTAAGCCTTAACCCCCAAAGCCTTTAAACCGAAACCCCGATCATCCGAGTCCTTTTGCCCGTAAACCCAGGCACTTAACTGGCCCTACAACCTAAAAGCACCCAAAAACCTTAGCCCAAACCGCCTAAGCCTACGCCATGGATTCTTGAGACTAGAGTGACTAGAGATGTCGCAAGGTGCCTTGGGTACAGACACAGACCCCAATTTAGTTGTCGCAGTCTTCCGTACTCCAAGCCTTTTCAAGAGTTTGAGCAACCCGGTGTGACAGCGTGTTATTGTCGATAGTGATAGTGAAGGTTGGGTTTGAGTTTCGATGGAATGCATGTGTGTTTTGGTCGGTTGGTGTCAGTGAGTGTTCGTTCAGAAAAAGAGGAGAAAGAGAGAGAGAGAGAGAGAGAGAGAGAGAGAGAGAGAGAGAGAGAGAGATAGAGATAGAGAGCGAGAGAGAGCGAGAGAGAGCGAGAGAGAGCGAGAGAGAGAGAGCGAGAGCGAGAGCGAGAGCGAGAGCGAGAGGGAAAGGGAGAGGGAGAGGGAAAGGGAGAGGGCAAGGGAGAGGGAAAGAGAGAGGGAAAGGGAGAGGGAAAGGGAGAGGGAAGTTGGAGAGGGGAGAGGGGAGATGGGAGAGAGGAGAGGGAGAGGGAGTGTGTGTGTGTGTGTTTCTGTTTGCGACGTGTCAGTGTTTGTATGCCTGTGTGCTAGGTTTGCTGCGGGTGAGTGGGGCCGGGCTGAGTTCACTTGCGCTTGTCAGGAGCTGGAGGCATCGATTCTACATGCCATGGGCTGCGGCGAGTTTTTCGCGATGATCGAGGAGCCCAAGCTCCATGAACGCCTCAAAGGTGTGACCGTGAGGTTTGTGACCAGGTATACGGAAGACTCAGCGGAGTCCTTGGAGATGAGCACGCCCATTGCGAATGCAATGAGCACCGTGTTCCAGGCCATGGCGTGCTTGCTGGTTCTCTTGGAGCCAACACCGGGCTTCTTGGGGACATCGGCCAGCGCAGTGGCTAAGATTGTGGCCTACGAAAGCAGCAACCCTGAGGATTTCTTGAGTGCCCTGCGGTTGCACCTCGCAGACCAGGGTATTTGGCAATCGAGGGTGGATGAGGTCTTGAAGCTCGGAGGCAGTGCTTTGAAGTTCGGGCAGGAGTTGAAGGAGCATGTGGATAAGATGAAGTCGATCTCGGGACAGGACGGCTTCAGCGAGCACTTCGTCCAGGCGGTCAACGTAGTTGATACTTTGAGGAATGGGCTTCGCAAGCATGCCGTTGATGAGCTGCTGTCCCTCATCCGAGAGACGACGCAGAAGTACATCGACAAGCTCTGCAGCTCCCCGAGTGTGTCCGAGAGCGACGGAGGCATCATCCAGGTGCTCATGCAGGCCATTGACAAGTTTCCCCAGAAGGACATGTTGCAGCTGAAGCAGAAGTTTCTGAAGTGGCAGCAAAGCGTCCAAGTGGAGCTGCTCAAGCAGGAGGCATCTGCTCTTGGCAACAAGATCCTCAACCAAGCCGGAAACGATGATGAGGAGATCCCGCTGGACGATCTCGCCAAGCTTCTTGACAAGTTCAAGGCCGAGAAGGAGCTGAAGGACGATGCCAAACAGCTGCTTCAGCAGTTTGTTTGGGCCATCATGACGAAGGTCCACAACCAGGACCCGCAGTGACATGTTCAAAAGGGTTCACAATGAAACTTTTCATAGTTCGACTTATCCCTTGGTTCTGGTACTACACCCGCCCTCACACACACATGGTAACTTGTAGCAAACAGATTTCGAGTATGGCAGGTTGGTAGATACCAATGTGTGTGTGTGCGTAGATTCATTCGGGTATTTGAGCAGTTGTAGCTGGCTGCATTGTAGCTTCCGCCCGCATACACAGACTCAGCAACTGCTATGGTTTTATTCTACATCGCGTCTGTTGAATTTGTTCTTACTGTTTTCATTGCAGGCCTCCAACCTGAAGCGGCTTGCGTACCAGATCTTCAGCCTCCTTGACGGCTTTGGGAAGCTTGCCTTCGCTGACCCGGTGGCGGAGAGCTTGAAGCTTCAGATGCAGTACATGCAGGATGGATTGTATGTGCTGAAGCAGATGGAGAAGTTCCGCAAGCTCGGCAGCGACCCTGCCGGGCGCCTCAAGAACGATGTCAGGTGGGGAGCTCTTCTCACGTACGTGAAGCAGCTGGAGGGTTTGCGGACTGTCAGGGACAAGGCCAGCAGCCGTGTGGACGTTTTGGCATCCTCTGCTCCTACTGAGCATGCCAAACTCAAGGAGCTATGTTTCTCTGACTTGGATCGACCCTTCCAGGTGCCTGAGGACATGAAGGACGCCTTTGTTTTCGCAATGAAGGCCATGCAGAAGGATGCAGAGGAGCTCATCGACAAGATGGGCGACAGCACCCAGAACCTCCACCTCCCGAAGTCCAGATGGACGAAAGATCTCAAGCCCGATGCAACGGCCGAAACGGTGAAAATGTGCATCGCCAGCAGCCTCGACTTTGATGTTTCCCAGCTGGAGCCCACCCTGCAAGCTCTCAAGGAGGCTTCTGTTTCAAAAGTAAAGACATAGGTCATAGGTGTCACCAGCCGTCACTAGCCGCAGTAGCCGCTAGGTTTCTTTCTGATTGTCTGTAGTATCCTTTTTGATTGCCTGAGTCGGGATTGGTATGTACACCATGATTGCATATAGGTATTCTTGGAGGTAACTCGAAGGTTGTTTATAAGAAGCTTGAGGGGAGCCGCTGTTTTGCAGGTGAATGCCAAAATTGCCATCTGGAAGAAGAAGGTGACCTTCCTCAAGACTGTGGCGGAGCTTGAGGATGAATCCAAAGCATTCTTCGACACATGCGAGAAGGTGAATCAGAGCCTTGTCAGTGGCCATATTTTCAGATCCGAGGGCATTCTCGCAAATGCTTTGATGGAGTCGAACAAGGGGGAAGCGCAAAAACTCGTTCGTGTTGAGCTTTCCTATCTGGCCGGAGATCATTGGCAGCTGGGCATCAATGAGACGCATGTCCATGCAGCTGTGCTGGCAGCTGCAAAGCAGCTGCTGGACAAGAAATGAGATGGAGATTTGCAGGGCCCAGCTTTTAAGTCTTCCAGACATTTTCAGATGTGGTGCTTAGGAACTGATAGGCAAGTTGTTGTAGCGAGATGATAGGTAGCAGCACGTCTTGATTGTTTCGAAGTCGCCGCCAGTTTTTCCAGTCCGTATCTTGGCATACTGTGTGTACTACCATCCTGCCGTGTTCCCGAGACCAGACCACGTCGGGCATTCCTGCTTTTGGAACCATCGCTATTTTACTTTGCAAGCCCCAGGCTTCCAGCAAAGGCTCCATGCCGTGCCAGTTGTTGTGGCTGTTGCTAAACCCCGGAACCCAAAGTACGTACTCGGAGTATACCTGTATATCTTAGGGCTTAGGTCCTAGGCCATCCGGGTTGGTCTTCAGAAGACCAGGCACAGCTCTTATCATTTTTCCTTTCGCTTCACGTGCAAACCTACCCAAAGCTTTGCAGCCTTGCCGCTTGGGGTGAAAAAACCGGAGAACACAGTCCAAGTTCAGTTGGGCTGCTTACTTACGGCCGAGGATGTGTAGGTTCGGGTTTAGCGCTGAGGGAATTGGAGCCGTTTGCACATTTTCATATATGCATATACTGGAATGCAAGAGTGACCTACTTTCATATGTTTTCTGGATTGCGAATCTTAATTGAGAAACCTTGTAAGCCGGAAGTTTTGGTGAACGCATTTCGGCGTGTGTGACATATGCCGACATATGGACTTGCTTGCATTCACGTGAGATCGTAAGATGTTGGTGTGCCGGAGGATATGCTGGCCTCCATTGGCAGGTTTGGAAAGTGCTTCACCGCATAATCTTTCCAGTTCGGCAATGCCTGCAAACATATCGGTAGTAACTCACACCAAAGAACCACCAATCCTGAATCACCTGGTGGGTGATTGTACGTGTCCAGGTCATAAGCAAAAACAGTTCCACAACCATGACAGATCCACCAAACATCAACAACAGTCCTTGGAAACCGCTGAAAGCATACATGGATGACACCAGCAGACAAGATGACAGAACACACATTGGAGTGCAACACATGACATAACACCGTAGCTATTTTGGCCTCTACCGTAGCCGTTTTTGCTCGATGAGCGTCCGTGCCAACCAAAGGCAGTTTCTATACTGCCACGAGACGTGGACAAGTCATGTCGTAGAATCCCTTGAAATGTTAATGTCCGTTGATATGTACTGTGCCCGTTTTGCTCACGTGGCACGCTGCGGGGTGTAACGTGGTCACCGCAGCTGCTGTTTGTTGAGCTTTCCCTGGGTGCATTCACGTTTCTGGTGGTCTATGACATTCGTTTGTGGTTGATTTGATTTGCCGTGCGTGGTTAGTGCTACTAGTTAGTGTGCCGCTAGTTAGTTGTGCTCGTTTTCTATGTGTTTGAAGTTTATGTGTTCTGCCGTCTGTGTATGTATATTGTGACAAATACCCTGCTTGGATTGCTTCGCTGGACTTCGTGGTGTCTTTTCCTGGGTGGATTGCTAAATCTGTGCTGTTTTGTTCATTGCTTGTGCATGTCCTTCATTTGACTGCTTTTCATATTGGCTGGATTTCCAATTAGAGATGGTTGCTTTGTCTGGGTTTACACCAATCTTGCTGGTTCTCGTAGTCCCTACTTTTCGCTCTACCAAACAAGGCACCATGCTTTTACGCTACCCCTTTTTCTGCTGCTCTTTGTTTCGGTTTTTGTTTGCTTTTTTGTTGCTTTTTTTTTGCTTTTTGGTTGCTTTGTTGTTGCTTTCTGTGTCGCTTTTCTTTCGCTTTTTTTTTGCTTTTTGTTTGCATTTGATTTTGCTTTCTTTTTGCTTTCTGGTTGCTTTCTGTTTGGATTATTTTCTGCACCATCGCTTTTTCGGTTGGATTGGTTTTCGCTTTTTTATCGGAATTAAATGATTTCCAGGAAAAGATAGAAGTAGCTTGCAAGCCGCGTCACAAACCTAAGGTCGATGCTGATGGCACTTTGACTTATGTACCGGTCAAAGCGCGACCGCAACTTCCTCCTCCACGGACCACACCGGCGACAACCGGCCGATCCCGCAGTCGGCGTCGCCGCCGCGACCGTGCTGACCGAGACCGTGATGATCGTGAGGATCCTGACCGCTCTCGAGGTGCGCGTGATGTTCCCCATCGCGATCGAGACCGTGATCGACACCGACGGGATCTGAGCGGAGACCAGCAGCGCCCACCCCTGACCCTCTACTCCGTCGCTCGGGCCTGAACAAAACATGTGCCCTCGCCGACTCTGCTCCTCCTTTCTTGGATGTCCCGCAGCCATTTTCTACATCACTCCACAGTCCTGCCCTTCCCTGGTACCATACATGCCTTTCCGACGCTCTGCTCCTCTTTCGTCCTCTGCCTCCTCTTCCTGCTCGACCTTGTCGTCATCCACTTCGGCAACTGTCTTGGAGTACTTGGACGTATTGACTGATCCTTTCATTCTCTTCCGGGTGTTCTTACCACTCTTGGAACTTCGTCTACGTACAGCTCTCGTCCCTCCGGACTCGATGATGGACACTGCTTCTGCCCGTACACCCGCCCCGGACTCCACTTTACGGTGCCTCTTTCCCATTGCTGAACTACATGGCCAGGCCCTTGCGTTCCGGACGGAACGCGACTATCACCTTCACTATGCCCTCGCCGAGATCACATTTCATCCCGGTGTCGTTGCTTCTTTGATGGTGACCTGCTCGCGAACATACTACGCCGTACGAGCCCTTCTTCGTGATCGTGGACTTCAATATGCCTTCTACGTGGAACGCACACCCGATCTTCCACGGTCACATTCTTCTCGACCGTGCCTGTCCATCTTCCATCCGTTTTGTCCACAACAAGTCCGCGGTATGGCGTTACACCGTGGAATTCAGCATTGGGTCTTCATTCCCTCCAGCTACCAGGAGTTGCCTCTGATCCGGCTCGGACGTTTCTCATGATGTGCGCTCAGGACCTGGACAAAGAGGACTATTTGCTACTGCAGCAGTTCTTAAGCGAGCTCACTTCCCGCAGCCGTTTTTACTTTGGCTCCTTTCGCCTGCTTCCTCACGCCTCCTCCCATTCTTCCTCCTCCTTATGCCTCCACACCGCTCTCGCACTCCACCTTCCCGACGACATCGTCTACATGGACGTGATGAACCTTCTCGAAACGATCCTTATTCGTCCCAGCGGAACATTACGACGCAACCTCCCAGGTCGGGGTCCTTCCGGGACAATCGCGCACACAGCCGTACGTCTCCTCCTCGGTCCCGACGACATCGCAGCCGAACCCCGGTGTCCAACACGCCGGAACATCACCGCCACCGCCGCCGTGGCACTTCGATCAGGCAACATCGACATCGAGATCCTGATGCTGATTCTCCCCCACGACGTCGGCTACACTATTCTTCACCACGGCCATCGTCTCGACGACATCCTCCTCCTTCCGACTCTGACCGACGGGCACCACATTCTGACAGCCGGGTGCACTCCACTCCTCCACCTCATGATGATCCATCCCACTATTCGTCCTCCGGTGCACCTCCTGCTCGACGTGAACCTCGCCGTGATCGCCGCGATCATCCTTCCGCTCGAGATCACCGCCTACTTCAGGAACGCTACGAAGACATCCATCCGCTCGGCGCCAACTGGGAAACCACCGACCTCTTCCTTGACGCGAACCCAGACCGCGGTTTCCCTTTACCGCGCAATGTCGTAGACACTGCCTTTACCCGGCGTCTCGGCATCGCCGAAATGCCTATTCATCTCGTACCTGTTGTGTCGCTCACCCCGAATGCGGGGCAAGCATGGATCGTCCGCCTGCTGGCTGCTGGCCGCCCTCTTGTGATCGAAATTTTCAGGACGCGACAGGAAGCGCTTTTGGCGTCATTCATTATTCGGACACTCCGCAAGTCCTCGGACCAATACGACATCTCTGATGTCCTTAAACAACTACACGACAACCACACCGTTGCTACCGAAGGCCCACGCGACCTTACCATATGGGCGTATCGCGCTCAGCTCTTGCAACACGTGGCGGACAAGGTTGCTGCGACGATTAATGATCTACTACCCCACGGGGAAGGTGCAGCCGGAGGACGACCTGGACTTCTTGAACAAATTCAACGATTGCAGCAGGAGAACGACCAGCTCAGGTTGCTTGCCGCTGGCACGGGCGCCGAGACCTTACCTCATCCACTTGCAGAACCGAACCCTCCACCAGACGCTGCCACCAGACTCCGGGACTCCTTCTCCAAGTTCGAACGACTTGATCGCCGCGCTGTCCTCGCTTCCAACTCCCCCAAATCCGCCTCTACCACCGATGTGAAGAAATGGCTCGACGGTCTCATCAAGCTCCATCGCGAATCCTACACACCGAAGCTCACCGAGTTACAGGGCATCTTGAAAGAGGCCGCTTCGGGCGTCCTGCCACCCCTGGACAAAACCCTTGTGGATTGGGGATTGACCGTCAGTTTGGCTTCCAAGTTGTCTGAAGTCAACCAACAAAAGCTATTAGCGATGACGGCGGTCCTCTCCGCCTTCCAGCCAGCCGCTGTTCCTGCCACTGCTCCCAGCACATGAGCGTGATCGTCCTCACTATCTTTCAGATGGCACATCGCACCAACTGTTACCATCGCGGGGGTGGCTGCAGTCGAACGGAAACAGTTTGCAGCGTTGCAATGCCTGCCTGGACGTTGATTCACATGTTCGCACCTTCCGCAGCCGTTTCCTTAAGGTTTTTGACATTAACACCATGCCGCTCCAGCTTTCCACACTTCCTTGCGGATTTGTGCATCAGCTCTTGGACTACCACCAGAACTTGTTCGCGTACGCCGTGGCCGCGACTCACCCCCCTATTGATGGCAGTCCAGGCAATTCTATTCGGCAGACCACACGACATCCCGATGACATCATGATCCGTGATCGTCTGGCAGAGCTCATTGACCGTCACACTAACCTCTTCTACGGGTTCTTTCGCGTTGGGGACAACTATTATCATGGCCTATTTGTTCTCACCTTCGACAT